CTCCGCCAGCCGGGCCGGAGCACCAGCCTCCCTGCAACCGCTCCGAGTCCCGGAGCGTGCCTGTTTTCCATCGGAGCCGTGATTTCAATTATCCCAGAAGCAACGAGGAAAGAACACAAGAGAGGAAACGCAGCGATTGCCGAGGTGGGCTTCTCCTCAGAGCTGTGCGTGACGCCGAGCGGCCCGCCAGCACACCTACCCCAAGGAAGACGAGTCGAGTTAGACAAACCCTTGGGAGTTTAATCCTTTAGTATGGCTGGGGGCTGATGGGGGACAGGGACCGGTTAGAAACACACGTCTCGCGGCCGCCTCCTTCACAGCCCCAGGACTCTCGATCAACACAGCGCAGGCAGGATGGGGGGGGGCACAAAGCACGGGGCCCCTTTCCATCCCTGCAGGGCTACGGGCGTATCTAATCCCTCACAGCGCACACCACAGCTCGCGTCCCCCGGTGCTGCTGGGCCACAGCCAGCCACAACGCCCACAACGTCGTCAGCGGGCCAAGTACGGGGAAGTTTGGGGCAAGGAGCGGATTTAGGGGCAGTCACAGGAAGCGCAGCTGTACAGCCAGGGATTGCTGTAATGGTTTTGCTCCAGCTGAGTGACCTCAGAAAAAAGAGCATCGTGACTCCGGCAAGTCTCCATCTGCTTTTTCTGAACAGGGCTGATGAGTTCGGCTTTCACAGAGTGACTGTCGGTTTACAAAGTTGTACCCAGAGCCCCTGCACAGCCCTCGCCTTGCCAAACCGATCGTGTACTGCTTGGGCTTGGCCCAACGGGGCTTGCACCAAAAAGCAGTTTGGGTCAATCCCGCTGCTGCCGGTGTCACAGGCACCCGCTGGCCTTCCCCCGACTCACCTCCCAGCTTCCGCCAGGAGCAAAAACCTTCCAGGTGAAATCGCTATTTCTCATTTAGCATTTTATCATCTTCCCCCTCAAGGTATTCAGCTTTGAGGGAAGCCAGCAAAATCAGATTAAGGTGGGTTTTTTTAATAAGAAAGTTAAGAGTTCAGAATTCATCCTTTCAGGGTTTAAGAAACAGGTTTTTTAAAAAAATCAAGTTAAAATTCCACACGAGGCACCTCTATTTCAGTATTTTTTGACACAGACACAACAGCACACAAGACCAGCTCGCACGGAGCGAGTCAAGCCGTGCAAGGTGTGAGCCAGGCTGTGGATTTCTACTAAAGAGCCCAGAGTTTCCAGGACGGGTGACCGTTCCCAGGCTGCAGGAGCACGTTTCACCAAAGTTTGTGTGAGGAAGATGAGCTGCAGCGATCATCACAGCGCTGCTGCGGCAAGCGGCCGGCATACCCCAAAATCACCACGCTACTGTAAGGTTTGTTAGTTGGGTCTTGTGCGACACCAGCAATTAGCAGGGCAGCAGGAGCAGTGTCCAAACAGCCTCCCAGGATCATTAGCGCGGTTCCTCACAGCCGGGCTCTTTGCTGGATGCGTTTTACGACAGTAACGCGCAGGCTGGGAGGGAGGGCGGCAGCGAGCTGCTGCTGGGGAGAGTCCTGGTACTTGGCTTTGCCACCCCAGACACCCTAATCCCAAGTCACCCTCGGTTCCCAGAAGTCCTTCCTACTTTCAAACGCCAACTCTGCTACAACTAAAGCAGCAGCTCAATTCAAATTACTAAGAAATAAAACAATCTAGACGAAGGAAACGAGGTGAACACGATCTCTACATACAATAAAGAATTTCCCCTTAAACTGTCTTCAAGATGCTTCCCACAGCGAAGCACGGGAGCTCAGTGAGGCAGGACCTCCAGCTGTAAGGAGCTATTTCCTATTGTACTTCCCCACGACGCATTACGTTACCAAAACACAGAGTCAAAGCTGCAGCTGAAAAAGAATTAAACCCTCACGCCCCAGCAGCAGGCTGCCCTTCAGCAGACACAAGGTTTGAGTACAACCCAGATGATGCAACTGCAGCGGCATTAGCTTCATTTGACTGTATTTAAATAAAATAAAGCATTTAAAAAATAACAGGCACTAAAATACCCTCCCTGCTTACACCACGTACCAGCCGAGCCCCGTGTAGCCTCTCCCCACCCTCCCTGGGCAGACTGCTGGGCAGTTTGTGGGTGCCACAGAACACGAGGAAAGCCATTTCCACGAAGCAGCGTGACAAGCGTATTGGGAAGAGTCAGCTCCCAGCCAGCATCCAGGTTGCTGGGCTCAAACCCGCAGCTGCAAGTTCCGTGGCGTTCCCAGTCAGACGGGGAGAGAGCCGGTACCCGACAGCCGCAAGGAACAGGCACACGTCTCCCCCCGCTGCAGCCTCCCCCCACGAAGGGCAGTCTTTGCTTGTTCAGTTCAGCCCTCAGAGTTTCTTCAGGCGACTGTACAGTTCCCTTTTGCTCTTCTCACCAGCCCAGGTTCGGCTTTTGGTGCGGAACCTTTTCAAGTCTTCTTTAAAGTCCTCGTGGTGCATGGGGCGATAGCTCTGGGGCTCGCAGAAGCTCTGGGGAAAGAGAAGATGGTTGAACTTGGATATGTGACAAGAGCGATGAGCTCTTTGAGACTCGCCGACAGAGCGTGGTAGCAACCATCGGAACAACTCCCACCAGAACAAAGAGAACTAGAGCCCCTCGCCCCGAGCAGGAGCTTTATACCAGACACTTGTGACCAAAGCCAAGCGATATTCAGGTTACAGCTACTTCCGACGCGGTAGCTGTTAAACCAAGGACTTTCAGCCTTGTGTACAGAGCTCTCGCCCCAGGTGTTCTGGCAGACATCACCACACACACAAAGCCTACCCAGTATTCACCTCGAAACAGCAGACTTGAAGAACACTCGTAGCTGGGGCGGCCAGCCCCAGAGCGTCACAGCCTGCCGTCGGCTGTCCCCTGCTGCCACCTTGAGGCCCTCGGTCCTCCCACCTCGGGAGAGCGTACCCACGGGCCCCAACCAAAACCCAGGCAGCCGCCACACAAGGGCTGCCAGGGGTCATAGGGAGAGCCGAAAAACGGGACAGAGCTCTCTGCCACGAACACCGGCATCCCCCAAGGCGGCCCAAACGCTGGAGGACCCAACATCCCACTGGGAAACCACACCCAGCCACTCACAGAAAGGCCAAATATCTCACATCTCCCTGAAAACACACCCAGTCACAGGGCAGGAAGGTAATCTGAGAGTTACTCTGAAGTGCTAGGGCCCGAGAGGGACTACAGAGACAGGGCACAGTCGAGTTTGTGTCAGAACAGCAGGAAGAATTGGCTGGAGAGAGAGTTCAGCCTCTGAAGTGCTGGAGCAGCAGAAGCCAAGTGATAGGAGAAACACCATCCTCACAACACTGTTAGAGCTGCCGGGCATTTTTTGCTTTCCTTCTCTGAAATAGAGGCTGAAAACTCAAAGCTCGAGTTTTTCACTGTTGCTATTTTAGTACAGTTTCATGTGTTCTACAGCAATTACTGTCAAGCCTCTCTCCTCTCCTCGTCCTGCCAGGCTGAGCAGTCTTCAATTCCTGCTCCAAATGACATTTTGAACTCCTAATTATTATAAAAGAGCAGAAACCAGTTTTATATTTTACTCTTGAGAGAAATGGAAAAACCTTTCAGCTATGGCTGCAAGACAGCTCCGAAGTACGGAATAGGCATGGAGAAGCGAAGGCAACCTCGCTGCCAAGTTTTAACTGCTCTCAGTACAGGAGGGCACTGGGAAACAGAGCAGGAAAAATTACCCCAGCAAAAAACCACTCTGCTCCAAAGAGAAGTCTGATTGAGTACGAGTACATCGGTATTATTCATCTATTGTTTCTTCTCAGTGGGAAAGCACTGAATTTAAGAGAACGTTACTCACCCGGCATCTTAAAAAGAAGTCCTTGTAACCCCCCTTCAGGACATACAACTCTGGGTAATGGAGGTTGGGGTATTCATTACCCAGCCTGTCCCGCTCTCTCACAAACCGGCACCTGTAGCAAAAAAAGATCCTCCATTACGTCTCACTTTCAACAAACGACACGCGAAACCATGGCTCACCCAAAAAATCCCATTCTTAGGGTTATGGAAGCAAGACACTGCCTATCAGAAACATGCTGATAAGCCGCGCTGCCTGCAAAGCTGTGGCTCACGGGTTTTCCTCTCCCATCTCGGAGCGTTCCAGCCCAACTTCAACGTAGCCATTTGCATCATGGGCTGTGTCACATCGGCCAACGTCCACTCATGACAACCTGCCAGCACAGGAACTGGTGCCACCCCAAAAGCTTTGCTCTAGGCAGTCAGTTGGTATCTGGGGGAGTGTGGGACAACTCACATTCGAGGACCCCGCTCAGAAGAAAACTCGCAGTGGAACACTATTATCACTCGTTTGTTCTCGGAAGGCTGGATCGGCTTCTTAAGCAAGAAGTCCTCCACATCCTCTTCCATATGAAGGTTTACAGCACCCTGTAAAGGCAGAGTCGTGCCAAGGACACACGGTGAGTGGGGGAGAACAGTAACAAACCCGTCCCACTCCTGGCACGCTGTCTCCTCATCTTTCCTAGAGGAGTTCTGGCAAGCCCCCCGCCCTCGGGAACACAGCTTCAAGCCCAAGCAGAATATTATGGAGTCTAACGCTGACTCCGGGTGACCTGGACTTGTCTCAGACAACCGTTTCAGCGGCTGTGGCCTGATGCATTTCCCATCTATTGCGTTTGAGAGTGCCAGCCAGCTTGCTCAAGCAGGAAACTTCAAGGTCAATTATATTTTGCGCAGCCATTTGTTTGTTCTTTGAGGTCCATGGTTTAAATGAAGTTTAATATTCTAATTTTAGCTTCCCTAGATATCAGGATTCTGGACACCAAGTGTTGTACATCCTCCTCTGGAACCATCTCCCTGCTTGCCACACAGGCCACCGCTTCTGCCTAAGGCAAGAGTAACGTTCCCTCCCCTGAGGGAGAAGTCACTTTATGGCCCATACCACATCCACGTGGCCCTGGATGTTCGCTCGCTGGTGGAGAGCAGCCCCCGCAGTGCCCCGTGACCCCAGTTTGCCCTGGGGGCAACTTCAGAGAATTCTGCGTTGCCCTTGCGGGGTCAACGTACCTTGATGTGCCCTCCTTCGTACTCATATGGGTATCTACAATCAATTATCACGCATTCCTTGATGAAGCTCGCAAACTTCCCAGTCAGCACAGACACAATCTGGGAGAGGAGGGGGAAAAAAAAAAAAAAAAAAAAAAGAGTTCAGTTGTGAGATGGTTTTGTGTTGTGGTTTGGGGGTTTTTCCCCAGTAAATTATTTTTCTTACTGTCCCTGGAACACATACCATTTCTGAGTCAATATATTTTAAATCTTGATGTTTCCCATCGACAGTGTGGAATAAATAACCCTAGAAAACAGACAACATTTAACTGAGAAAATTCCAAGTGCGAGCCACACGGGCAACAGCAGAGCGTCCAGCAGTTCATTTGGTAACACAATGCTTGACAAGAATCTCTTCAGCAAAGCTCAGGAGTTAAAACTAAGAATTCTAAAGTTCAGGGACCAAAAGTTTATTTTTTGCTCCTATACTGGAGGGATTTTGTAAAGTTTTTTGAATAACCAAAGAAATTGCTTTGTGCCTAAGCTGTGAAAGCGCCCATCTCCTCACCGACAGCCTTTTCTAGCTATTTGGGTACGTGCTGATAAAGAAGCGAAGTGCTTCATTTAGGCTGGTTTGAGACATCTCTACCAGGAGAGGCCATTAACACGCGTGAACTAATGCTTGACCATTAAATCACTTGAATTACCTTCGAGAAGTCACCAATAAGATCTCTCTGATCGCTGTCCAAAATGCTTTCGATCTCCGCTGTGGAGGATTGTGTCTTTACTATTTTCAGATTCTGAAGGAACACAGGTTAGAGATCAGTGCACTGACAGCAGAGACACCCTTTTCCCAGAACGTAACAGAAGACTCAGAGCTCGCTCTGAATCGTAGAATCCCAGAATCGTTTAGGCTGGAAAAGCCCTTTAAGACCACGGAGTCCAACCGTTACCCCAGCACTGCCCAGCCCACCACTGACCCATGTCCCCAAGCACCACATCTACACGGCTCTGAAATCCCTCCAGGGACAAAGCCCTGAACTAGTTCAGGAAACCCAGCTTCCCCTTTGGATTAAGGCAAAACTCAGGCTCAGGAGGACACAACTACTGCACCAGCCCCGCGAACCCACTACACGCTGGC